TGGGATTGACCGTCACATTATAAGCCCCCAAGGCTGAAAGGGCGAGCATGTTTGGTGTGACGGGGATTCGAACCCGCGACCCTCAGATTGCGAGTCGAGTGCCTTAACCACCTGGCCATGCCGGGCCGTTGCCCCCCTGTGGCACAGTGGTATGTCTGCGAATTTAAAACGCTAGAATCCGGGTTTAGATATTCGTTGTGGGCAAGGCACAGATATTCAATTGTGTTGTTTTGTGCTTAACTTCAAACAAACAAAAAGGCTCTTCTTCTTTGAAGGGTTACCGACCCCTGAGTTAGGATATGCAAGTGATTTATCAGGCGGAAAACGAAATTTTATACTAAATATAAGAAACACGGACATATTGGAATTCTTTCAAACTGCATCAACAGCGTTAAAATCTCAAAAAGTTAATTCACAATAAACATAAACAGCTAATAAGTGGAGTTTTAGATACAACCGAAAGTTTGGAAAGAATACAGACTTAAACGGTAACATACGATAAAACGTGTGTCTGGTATACATTTAATAATATTGTAGTGGTGCTTTCTATTGAATTTAGCGCAAAGATATTCGAGGGTTATTTGTGATAGCTATTCTTAATTTAGAATGGTAGACTAGATTAGAACACTAACGCAACTGAAAGGGCGATCATGATCGGTAGTGAACCCATAGATTATAAGTTAAGCGCCTTAACCATCAGGCCATGACAAGTATAATAATGTTAAGAAAAAAAACATGATCAAGAAGTGATAAAATATACATATAAGCTATTTCATCTTTAATTAGAAAAACTGAAAACAAAACATCGTGGATCGACTATCATCTCACCAATATAATTGTAAATCTCAAACTAAAAACCATCGTCAGACTTGCACAAAACCAGAATGTCAAGCGTAACAAACTATTCTCACTAAGAAAATCTGTTGACACAAATCCCGATAAGATAATTTTTAATTTTAGTGATCTTAATTTAACTGAACAATGTAAAAATGTTTTATCGAAAGTTGAAGTTTGTCTACCTTCAGTTTCTCAAGTTACTTATTCCATTTTAAATCTTAAAGTTTTTCCCAATTTTAATAAAAATAACATGGAATGCCTTCTTCAACCTGATCTGCAAAGCGTCGTTGTTCTCTTATAAAACATTTTTCCAAGTACGCAGACTGAGTTTTCTATTTTAAAAGAACTTGCCAGTAATCTAAATGTTGTTATCCGACCATTTGATATCAAAGTGTTCAGACCTGTTCAGAGACATTATACATTGTAGGTGTAATTTTAAATTTATCTGAATTTGGTTACGTCTCTAAAATGGAAGACGTTTTAAATAGCAAACTTGCTAAACATCTTGCATCTACACTAAGTTCACTAACTGAGAATGAATTTATTGTTCAAAGATTCTTTTTCCTTTGTTCAAGATATATCTAAGTTTCATAATGCAAGCAAATTCGATGTGGTCAGCTTTAATATTCAAGTAATTGCTAAACAGTTATTCCCAACCAAAGAAGTCCTTAACTTTGAACTTTAACCGACGAATATTCAAACAGCTTTTTAACTTGGTCCTCTCTACGGCGATGAACACTTTGTTAAAACTAAATATACTCTACCCATCCATATGCGCTCATGGGTCGTATGCAAGGTTATCTATATTTGTAAAACTATATGTCAACGCGCACATGGGAATTTCAGTTAGAAACTAACCAATCCACCTGAGTCTTATATCCGATTGCATAGTGAGAATAATAACCACCCCATCTTTCTTAAAAACATTAAAATTCTTGACTCCAGGACAACAGATGATGAACTCTATCAAAGAAAGCCTCATATTTTCATTGATCAACCAACATTAAATAATAACATCTACTCGATCTTGTTGCCATTAATCTAAACATTTCCAGTTTCTCTTTCTTGATATTTCATACAAACTTGTAACTTACAATGCAACAGTTTATACATGTATTTTATCCTTTCTGTATCATGTGTTCTCTTATCAGTATTATTAAATGCATGTCTGCTGCACGTTTTATAGTACATTTCGTTATACTTGTACCGTTGAAATGTGTTTTTTCTAAACATTTGGTTGTATCAAAAATTCGCTTAATAGCAGATGTTTTTTGTAGTTAGAATGCTGTGAATTAACTTTTTGAGATTTTAATGCTGATGATGGAATTTGAAATAATTCTGAAACGCCAGTAAACAATTAAGATTAGAATATGCTTTTATGAACGCTAAGTAAGATTCATTCATGTTACCTAATGAATAGATTAATAACAAATAAAATAAAGAATTAGGCCTAGGTTTTAAAATATAGATCACGTAAACTGCAGATGTATACATGCCGATAATTTTTCAAACAGCCTCAATAAAAGATGGAGTCAGAGGCGTAGGAACCAGGTTGGTTCGGGGTGCTGGCGCACCCATACAAGTTTTTGAAGGCTATGTTTTATATTTCTTTTCGTACGAAACTTTAACTAGCTACTAATACGTAGGCACGTATATTTATGTTGATTGTGTTTATGATTAATTTTTAACACTTCTGGACTTCTATATTAACTAAACATCGTCAGAGTCTGGGTGGGGAATGCGTCCCCTGCGTCTGGGATGGCCTACCAGGGCAACTTCAGATTTCAGTACACCCTTAGGCTAAAATATATTCCTATGGTTCAGGATGAAGTAACATTTAACCCAATCCGGAATATTGCTACAATTGTTCTAAATGCTGAATTATAATGTTTCTGAACAGTCCTATCAAATGATAAACGGTAACTTCACACTTCTTTTAGATTACGAGATAAAAACAGTCAAAAAGTGGTAAAACTATTGTTTTCGTCTTTTTTGCTTGTTGAAGAGATAAAACATATAATAAGTGAAACAGGAACTGGTACGAAACAAATTTACACTAGACGATATTTGTGTGAATTAGGGTTTGACAACTGTAGCAAATATATTGATACCATGCCATGAAAATCTTTATAATACTTAAACTTACAGTATCTACGAATAAACAAGGAATGGCAGAATAGTCCGGCCGCCGAAACATTTAGAGTTATCCAAGGATCCTGGTACCGTATCTAATAAATTATACGGCACTTTTAACGTTATGATCTTTTCAGCATATTCATTTTGTGAAAAAGTACCGTCATTTACTATTTCTTCCCTTAAAGTTGTTTATATCAACTATAGCTAATATCGATTGAAATATTCATTTTGCTTGATCATTTTCTTTTAAATTCACCGACAAAAAGTCAGAAGTTTGACAATTGTTCAAGGAGAAATTTCAGAAATTAGGATAATTGGACCTGATCGGGAAGTGGGAGTCAAAATCGTACATTTTTCAGAGTATTTGTTTGTTTGTTTGTTTGTCTTAGAGAAAAGCCACAATGGGCTATCTGCTGTGTACATCGCAGGGAATTGAACCCGGAATTTTAGAGCTGTAAGCCTGTAGACTTACAGCTGTCCCATCTGAGGATTTTCCAGAGAAATTGGAAAAATTACAGTTTTGATATTTTCAACTGAATTCATTTTATATAGCATATGGGCTAAGCGACAAGTCATAGAAACCCCAAAGTTGAGCATAACCATCCCTAGCTTACAACTGCTGAGAAGCACTCACTTACTTGCTTCTCTCATTCAAGTAGCAGGATTGACTGTCATGGTTATAATGCTCTCACATCTGAAAGTGTATAGCGTGTTCAATGGTATATTATGG